CGGGAGCGCCGGGAGCGCCGGGGCCGGTGCGGGCGGTAGTGCCGGTCGTCGTCGCGGAAGGTAGTTCTCCGGCGCGTGCGCTCGCTCATGGGGGCGTGCCTGGGCACCTCCTGTGCCCCCAGATTGCCCCCGGGCACCCCGCTGCCGTAGTCGAAGCTCTGGTGCATCCGGCCGTGGGACGGCCGCTCGCGGTAGCCCAAGGGGCTGGCCAGGTCGTGCAGGGTGGGCTCCATGTCCTGGTACTGCTGCACCGACAGCAGGCTGCGCACAGACTCGGCACTGCGAAACTGCATGGAGGAGTTCAGGGTCCCCATGTTGCTCATCTTCTCCGAGACGTTCATGCCCGAGTCTTTGCTCAGGTCAGGCATGGAGAACCTGGAGAGATGCTCCTGGCGCTTGGCTCCACCATCTGCTGAGAGCCCTTTGCAGGGAAAGGGCAAAGGAAGGAAAAAGAGAGAGTTAAGAAGGAGAATTTTCTATTGGCGGGTGGAGGCTGGTTTTGGCACAAGACTTTTACTTTAAAAAATAGCTCGGTGGTTTCAATGCTGTCCTGAAGAGCCCTTTCAACAGGAGGATTTTTTATTTTTTTTTTTTAAAGATCAGGCAGTTCCTCCTTGGGGAAATCACACCAATTTAAGGTGTTTTGAGTTGGACTCCAAGTTGCTTTTCACGACTTCCTTCCCCATATGTCTATGCTGTCTGTGACTTGATAGGAACAACCAGCAATGCCAGGGAGAAATCATGCGTCAGAGGTAACCTGAGGCCTCCTGCACACTGAGATAACTAGGGTGCCATGATCCTGCACCCACACCTTGTGCAACAATGACATGTTTTGGAGGACTGAACGTCGGGGGCAGATGAAAATGAGGCCATTGACTAATTCAGGCTTGTCACCATGCTGCACCACACAGGTCCCTTGAACGACACCCATGGAGGGACCCAAGGCACAGCCTTGGCAATTTGCATGCAGTTGGGTTTCCCAAGAGGTGAGGAAACACCTAAGCCCCAGAGGGTCTGCTGGAGCTCCCTGCAAGCAGTAGGACAGTCAGGCTATCCCTGCAGGTATCCATGGAGCTGTGCATGGCCAGGAGCCAGGAACATGAGCTCCAGCTTGACGGGCTGTACTGACAAGGAAGGTGACCCACTGGGTCTCACTGATATACAGCCAGACCTGAGCTCCTGTCAGCTTGACGGGCTGTACTGACAAGGAAAGTAACCCACTGGGTCTCACTGATGTACAGCCAGACCTGAGCTCCTGCAAGGTGCTTTCCTTCAGGCCTGAGATCCCATGAGGTGCTTTCCTCCAGCCCAGAAAGCCTTCCCCAGGCAGCAGGGAAATGAGGTGTCTGCTCAGCACCTGCCTATCAACAAGAAACTCAACGCACCCCATGCTGGCCTAGTCCTTGGCCTGGTTTATGGGTGTTTCCTGACTATTTTCTGACTATCTCCATGTTGGCTTGACAACTGGCAGCAGTCAGCGCTTGCACTGCAAGCTCAGGACAACAAGTTTCGTAAGTTATTTCAAAGGAAATCCATTTCATCCCAAATCAAACGCAGAGTGTTTGCTTTGGCGCTCTTCTCCCCATCGCTCTCCGCCAGCCTCCCGGTGCAGACCCAACGCGGAGAGCTGTGCACCATCAGCAGGATTTCCAACATGACGCACAGCCCTTATGCAATCACCAAGAATTTACGGCTTTGTAAATTAATTAAAAAAAATAACAACCCAGCCCACAAGTCAAGAATAAACCTCTTTTTCCCTTAACAAAAGCTGCTTGCATTTCATCGAGAGCTCAGCTCCTTCGGCATTAGCCACGGCTGCCAAACCTGAGGGAGAACAAGGGCTGCTGTCACTAGCACCACTCATGAGCTGCTTCAGGGTTTCTTTGGATTCAGCCTTAAAAAGATCAACAGATCCTGCAAAACTGGGCAAGGTTTTCCTGCAAAGCTGGGCAAGGCTTTCCAAACCCTCCCCTCGGTGGCACCAGGGAGAGCTTTAGCCGCTGACGGGTCTCACATGGTTTGGCTCTGCTCCCTGAGTCAGTCCAAGCACCACAGACATTTCTCCCTGCTCCTTTGCTTTTCTGCTGTTAACAGGAATGTTCCTGGAGTTTATGATTACAGAGGAAGGTAAAGTGAAGGTGATTCCTGAACACTGCAGGAAAAGGGAAAGTCTGGGTTAAAAATAAAAAGGAAAAGCCATGTTTGTTTTGAAAAGGACACACTTTCCAAGCAAGCTTCATGCCTTTTTTGTTCCCTAATGCTGATTTTGAGTGAGCAAACTCAAACTCAAACCCTGCCCTTTGGAAACAGCCTGGGATGGGCTCCCTGGCCCCTCTGAGGACCTGCCCACCCACGCTCCTCACTCCCATTATGGAAGTGAACAATTCCTGGCATGTGTCTCCTCCCCACTGGAGCCACAATCCTCTGCCTTTGAACCCAGTGCTGCCATTTGTCACATCACGCACTGCTCCCCATGTCCCTCCTGTGCCACTGTGGAGGAGCCCAGAAGCCCCTTGGGATGGAAAAGCAACTCAGAAAGACGCGCAAAGACCTCCTGAGCAGCCGAGTACCAGCGGGATTGCCGGCGGAGCCGATCCGAACGTGAATCATGGCTGCTGACAGCCCAACGTGGCCTTAATCAGACCTGTCAGACAATAGCTGACGCCAAGGAAAATGAGCCCTCGGTGACATTTATGCAGCCCTTCGTTAGGAGAACAGGCACAGCTCCACAATAAGAACAAGCAAGGGCAGCGCTGGGCAGGAATAGAGCTCCAACACCACAGGATGCTTCTGTGGCATCAGCAGATTAATTCTGGCAGCATCACTTGAAAGGGGCTGACCCTGTGCCACTGACAGGGTGTGGGGTGAGCTGCTGCTTTGCCCCCAGTGCCAGCTGTGTCAGATGGTACTGTGGTTCTGCCCCTCACAGCCATCTCCTTCCTCCAGTCCTGCATTCAGCAAGAATAAAAACGAG